TTTAAGTAAAAATAAGTCGACGTGTAAATGGTTTAGTTATATTGTAATTAAATGATAGTTATTTTGTGAATTTTATGTTTGTATCAATTTGGTATACGTTTCAGTTGAAGTAAACGTGTATGGAAATAATTTAAATATTTGACACTAAGTATTTGTAACCATTTTTAATGTTTGCGGTATAAATTCGTTGGTGACGTTTATAATATAATAGATAATTTAGAGGTAAAAGTTTTTGGATATTTTATTTATTTTATACGTGGAAATGTTCATTCCTTGGAAAGGGTATATACTTTTTCGCAATCAGGTAATTTCATATATGTGCTTTTTACCGAGTTTAAAGATTCACAAAATTTTTCTGCATTTTCGTGCAAATTTTTGTAATTTATGAGAAAATAGCAGTGTAGATGGATAAAGTTAAGAGTGTGTGCAATGCCATTTTTGTGCAATTCTGGGATGCTTTTTTAAGTAAAAATAAGTCGACGTGTACATGGTTTATGTGTATATGCGATTCTGTAAAACTCTGCAAGGAGTTTGCGATTCTGCACTTTTTCCCAATTTGGCAGTTAATATTTGTCATGATTAAGCAGTTTTGTTCCATAAAATTTCTAGCATAAGTGTAATTCGGATAGCAGATTGTTGGAAAAAGTGTTGAGTAAATAAAAAGAAAAGAAACATGTCTTTACTTCGTGAAAACAAAATGGTGGCAGGAAAAAAAAAAAAAAAGTTTGCTGTAGCAGAGTTGGTAGCCAAATTTTCGCCAAAAAATCGCCAAGTTACCATAATCCAAAGATTAACCGAAAAAATTACTTAAAATAATAACAGTTATAATTAAAAATATAATATAAAGAATATTATTTGGAAAAAGGGAACGATGGTGGCTTTTTTCCTCTCACGGGAAAGGAAACTAGGTTGCCATATATTAAGAAGTTCGCCAAGTGAACTATTCTTGGCGCAAACTGAAAATAAAAGTGCCAACATAAATTTGTGAATTTCTCCGTAAATTTCGCTCCAAATTTTACAAAATTTCATATTTAGGCGTAATTTGAGTTGTAGAATCGAAATATGTAAAAAAATGGTATGTTATTTTAGAAAAAGTCCGATTTTGTGTCAAAATACCTATGTTAGAATAGTGCTATATATAAATCTAATATATATCCTAAATCGCGCTTTCGAGACATGAAGGACGCAATTTGAATTTTGTCAATCGGTCCAGTAGAACGGGAGATATAGAACTGTCCCCCCCCCTTTTTTTTTTTTTTTTTTTTTTAGCAGTGTACATTTAATAGACATTTTGCTTATATTTTTGTCCATTTTATACCTGATGCTTTAATAAATATAAGTGAAAAAAATAAAAGTAAAATATTGATAAATAATTTTGAGGGAATTAATCTCGTGATACTGAAATTTGAATACATTTTTGATCCAAAACGGGACAAAAAAGTAAAAATTACATTTTAATAATATGTTTATAAATTGTTTTTATCATTTTAGGTAGCATTCTGCTAATTAACACCAAAAATTAGTTTATTTGTACACTTTTTCAAAATTAGGGTATCGAACAAAGTCGGATACCTTAATTTGAACCGTAGAATCGAAATATGGAAAAAAATTAGCATGTCATTTCAGAACAAGTCTGATTTTGTGTCAAAATACCTATATTAGAACAATTTATTTACTAAAGAAATATTGATTATATTCAATTACAATTCCTCTTCCATAAAAAAAATCCTTGCTTTTCTACATGCAGAATTAGCTGATGAACCATTCCAATATATTTTTTAATCTCAACAGTTCACCTGAAACTCTGATCCTCCTCAAAGCAAATGGCAAAAATATAAAGTAAAACCATTAATGAAGATTTTCCATACTTTAAAATGAAGCATTCCCAAAATTGAAAACTTACCCATTATTGTTAGAAAATATCAAAAAACCTTCAGTGAAAAGCTCTTTAAAATTGAAAATAAACTACAATGTAGCAAACATTTTTACACATAATTTGCAAGAACTTCCTTTAAAACACCAGTTTGAAACAATAAAAATAACCGTTAGAAGCTGAGACGCCTAAGGTTGACAGTTTGGCCTCTTTGGGGAAACTAAAAACCGTAGTCGAGAAAGCCATCTCCCAAATGGGGAATTTAATGCTACAAAGCAAAGAATTTGGAGTACTTACGGAAAATCCCGTCGACCACAAGAGACGGCGCCCCCCCCCCCCCCCGAAAAAAAAAAACTAAATACAAGGGAGTAAAAACGTTCTATTCTTATTTTTCTTTCAAATTTATTATATTATCATTTATTTATATTTAATTAATTCATTAAAAATTTCCATTATTTTTTTTTTATTAAGGAGATATACTGTAAAAGCAATTGTTTTCGCTAGGTTTTAATTTTCGCGAGTAAATGCAAGAAAATGTACAGTTAGTCAATAAAGTCTGCGTACATCAAGAAAAGTAATATCAAATCCAAATTTTAAGGTGCGAAAAGGGTAGTTTCTTAAAGTTTTATTTTTTAAATATTTAGTTTCAATAAGGGACTTTGAAATTATTTAACTGTAATATTTTCATATTTAATAATTTATGCACACTAATTTTTAAAAGATAAGTGGCCAGAAATCAAAGCCAATAAAGTTTGCGTACAACGCGAAGGAGGCGGGGGATTTCTTATCTAACTTTTAAACTTCAAATTTGAGAATTCAAAGAAGGTTACACTTTCAAGGTCATTGACCTCCGAAGCAAATTTCACGTTGATTGGAAGTTGCTATTTCTATTTTCTTTGACGAAAATGACAACCAATAAAGAAATTCCTTTATTTACGAGACAACTAATTATCAAAATTGAGAGATGAAGGTAAAACGCTTCGTTATATTGGTAAAATCATTGGAAAAACATTTTTTAGTGTGCAAAGAGTTATTCAAAACTACCTTGACACTGGTAGTCTTGCTGTAAAACCAAGATGTGGGAGACCGAAGAAGCTAACGCAGAGAGAAGAAAGAAAAATTCTTTTACGAATTAAACAAAATTCTAAACTCTGCTGCAAGCATTGGAAAAGACATTTTTTTAACTAGCAACAAGGAAATTTCTCCTGAAACTGTACGAAAAGTTCTGCGAAAGTCCGATTATCATGGACGCAAACCTAGGTCTATGCCATACATTTCCGAGACAAATAGGAAGAAAAGAATTGCTTTTGCCAAAACATATTTAAACTCTTCGCAGGACTTCTGGAACAATGTAATTTGGTCGATGAAAGTAAATTTACAATATTTAAAGTTAATGGCCAACCTATTGTAGTGAGAAAACCAGGAACAGAACTGAATCTGAGAAATTTAAATCCAACTGTCAAACATGGAGTTAGCGGTGTGATGGTATGGGGGTGTATGTCGTCGAAAGGTGTTGGAAATTTTCACATTATTGATAAAGTCATGAATAGTATGTTTATCTGGATATTCTGAAGAAAAATCTACGAGACAGTGCTCGAAATTTAAACCTTTCTAATACCTTTATTTTCCAACAAGACAACGACCCGAAACATACAGCTAAAATTGTGAAGGAATATCTCCTCTATCACACTCCAAGACAGTTGCGTACTCATCCACAGTCACCAGACCTCAATCCAATCGAACATTTGTGGGCAAAATTGGAGAAACGAATTCGAAAACACAATATTACGTCGCGAATAAAGCTAATTAGTAAATTGCAGGAAAAATGGGCGAAATTTACGTCGGATGACACTGAAAAACTAGTTCCAGTCAATGCCCAGACGTCTGCAAGCTGTTTTGAAGAATAAAAGATATCCTGCATAATGTATTGAAGTAATGTAAAAAACTTATATTTTGCTTTTTTTTTTGAAAGTGTACGCAGACTTATTGGGAGGGAATTGAGTTTTTTTTGACAAAATATATTTTTGAAAAAATGTAAAAAGTATTACACTGATATTATTTACTTTTTATTTAAGCTTACAATTTTAGCTAATAGAAGAAAAAATTGCAATGACTAAAATACATTTTTCTATGCTTTAAGTGTTTTTTTAATTTAAAATTTAGTCTGTACGCAGACTTTTGTGACTAACTGTAAGTCTCGCGAAATACTTCTTTTTCGCTCTTCTGTAGTAGGCAGTCTTAAAGTTTAATCTTCCCCCCCTCCGAAAATGCGTGATAAAGGGGGTAAAAAAAAGGAGTCTACTCAAGAATAATAACTAACACTTGTAATCAAGGTTACACCAAACCCAGCGTGTTTGAAGAAGACTTTTCGATTTTTGGCGAAAAATCGCGTAGTTTTGCGTCTTTTCTTTAATAGGCAAAAATGGTCAACGGGATTTTCCGTAAGTACCGAATTTTGAATTTAAAGAAAAACTTTTAATTCAAAAACATTCTGACACTTTGAAATGTGAACTAAACAGAGAAAAAAAGAGTTATTCCTACGTGTAAAAAAAAATCAAACACTTCTGAAGTAAAACGGAAATTTAAATTTAAAACAAAATTGCAATTAAAATGTTGAAAAAAATGCAATTAAAATGATTAAATAGAACAAAGAAAAGCAGAAAAAAGTGAGAACATTAAAACTAATATATGAAATTCCAAATATTTAATATACTTTAAAAATCGCCAGAGACTCAAATGGTAGTTTTTTGCAGTATAAAACTATTGTAAAAGGTGCCTAGAAATTTCTTAATGGTGAATTTAATGCTGTTAAGAAATAGGATTTTTTAAAATTTCAAATTTTGATCTTTCTGAAAATTGGTTCTAATTTTTTTTCTTTATTTCTATATATATATTGAATAGATTAAGAGTAAGATTTCTAACTTTTTTAAGAAATTAATTCTTAGCTTATTTTTTTTCCAATTTTATATTTTATTGTTATTATTTATAATTATTATTTTATTAGATTATGTCAGTGTTTAAAATAGATAAGTTAAAGCTTATTCAAAGTTTATCGGCATATCCGAATATAAATTGTCAAACCTTTAATAACCATGTGTCTCTCTTCCTTAGTTAATTTAATCTAAGACAGAAGTTTAAAAATTTTATTTAACATAAAAATATCAAATTCGAATTACATAATATATCCAGTTATTGAAGCATCTCTTATGTACACAAATATATATATAAATTGCTCATATTCTGTATATTTTATTCTTAAAAATATTCTATATCAAAATTATAAAACTGTTAAAAGTGCAGACTTTTAGATTTATGCTAACATTTACTAAGATGCTTTGGAAAGCAACAAGCATTTTAATATGTCTTAAATGTTAACTTATCCCTGAGTACATAATTCGTAACAAAGATTTACCCAACAAATACAACAACAGTTTCTCTTGGATTCTTCAGGGTTTTTCATTAATCTTTCTTTTGGTCTAAAAAGAAAGAATAATAATAATAATTCTAAACAAAAATTTTGATTATAGAGCTATTACATATAAAATATATAACCTGAAATTCTATCAATAGATTGACTTAAAATTCATTTTATATTATTTTAAATTTGTAACTGAATTTTCTTGCTTTAAAAGCTGATTCAAACTGCTTTAGTGTTTGGTAGAATAGAATATGATACCGCAGAATCTTAATGTTACAATATCAACAAATGATTTCTTGCGCTATATTTTGATTATCTATTATTATCTAGTGAAAAATAATTAGTTTCACTGGTCACAATTCCTTGACTGTAATGTTCACCTGGCTTGCTTCTGGATTTTATGAAATGGCTCTCAAAATCAAAATGAAAAAATATTTTTTAAGAAATTGTTACGATGAAAAATTAATAGCCAAATGTGTTGGCTCAAAATTCATATAAATAGTTATTTTAAAATGAAATGCATGATACCCATATAGATTAAAAATTTTTGATTTCAGACTCCTGTTCTGCTAGAATGCAATATGAAGCAAAATTTTCAACTGCCAGTCTATGTAAATCAAGTGCTTTTTATTTTCAAAAGTTTAAATTCTTCATCAATGTTGAGATCCTGATCTCCAGAAAACATTTTTAGAAGCAGAACATTCCTCTGAACTCAATGAAATTTTTAGCTGCTTTGCGCAGGTCAAAAGCAGAACATTTGAACACACGAACATGCTACATGAACTAACTACTATTCGAAGAGCATATCAAAAATCTAATTTTTTTGAATTTATATCCAGCATTCCCACTGAAATATTCTTTCTTTGTGCAATCTGATGATAAGTTATGTAATGAATATACAGGACCCCTACAAAAATATTACTTTAAGAGTCAACATTTCAGCATTGATTATAAAGTGAAGAAGGCTCTCCCAGATGGTTCAGACATAGTGGTAAATCTTTCTATGCCAAAGCTTTCCAGAGAGTAGTTAAATACTGTGGAAATTGTATAAATGTGCCAGGAGATATGTCAAACAATTTTATAAATTCAGAAGCTATGGTGTAACTTGATTACCTCTGTAAAGATGTACTAATATTAACAAACTATGACTACTTTTGGTCACTGATAATTAGGCTTTTGTGGAGAATCTCCAAGATGCACAAACTGATCAGAGAGCAGCAACAATGGCATGAATTGAATCAACACCAGAGCCTCCAAGAGCATAGCAAGTAATGGTATGTTGTGTACTACAAATCTGCATTCTATTTGTTCCACTGTCAATTGCATACTATCAGCGGCACAAGCTGCTGATTTCATGTCATCAAGCATTGTATCTTTCCTAATGCCAAGAACATCAAGATCACACCAAACTGTCTTCTGCAGAGTATTGCCACGATGTACAGTTAAAAGACGCCCATTTTCAACATTACTGAAGTGACAGAAAATAGATATGTATATTAATTATGTCATTAATTATTATTAATTATGTCAGTAACATAAGGTATTAGACTCAGCCTGCCCAGTAGGTTCCTTCCAGCTGAATCCGTTCTAAAAGAATAAAATTAACACTGCCATTACAGAATGAATCATTGAATTTGAGATATTGGAAGGGAAACTGAGGGAAGAAACTAGTTTCTGAAATCGGATTTACAATGATAATTTTTTTTTAATCCAATGAAGTAGCAGTTCATACAAGTTTTGCTCTCATGCACATCATAGCAAAATGATCAAAATTATTTACTGATGGTAAAATCCCTTAAAAATTCTCCGATTAATCTACTGAAGTGCCATTTTGCATCAAATAATTATTTTCCTTAACCTCTCATTATTTTACAAACACAAAAAATGTTTACAAGTACATTTTTTAATCAAAAATCACTAATTTTGATTAAAAAAAATCAAAAATAGTCACAATCAATCACTATCAAATAAACTAAATTTAATCAAAACTGGTGACTATCAATAATAAGATTCTCATTCTCAAATAATAATCATAATTAATTATCAATAATAAGATTAAGCATTCTCATTCTCAAAAATGTGCTTCATAAATTTAACAACAGGCTCATATCTGTTAGATTTATTTTATTAGAAATATAAATTACAATAATAATAATAATCATTTCTATAATTCTATTATTATTTTGTGTCTCCGGGATTTGCCAAGTACTTAAACTATACGGTTTATTTATTGTTACTGTTCCATTTTAAATCTATATTATGATCAACAGCTAGCCAATATCTACCAGAAATAAGAAAAGGAAAAGTCAACCAGATTGCTGCGATAGTTATTTATGCGGTAACCAAAGGAAATTGCATTCAGATTATCATTAAATTACGTGTGCTGACTGAATCTTCAAGTCTTAATAATACACAAGTAACAAAAAAATCTACACAAACATTTTCATCTAATATTCATGCACTCTTGCATTTATTTTATCTAATATAAATTACAACACTTAAACATTAAAGTATAAATTCTAATATTAAAGTAATATCAACTATGTAAAGATAATAACTTACTTATATGTTGATTTATTCAGTGTACTTTTTCTCATTTTATTTTCAGTCTTTTTCTTTACACGTTTTTCCTTTTGGTGATACAAAAGTTCTGTATCAGAATGGTTAACAGATGATTCTGCAGGATGTTCCCGAAATGTTGGTTTAGAATATGGCTCTTGAGATTGAATTATTGAGTTTGGCTGTTTTTGAATAACCCTACGAGTACCAGGGTAAAATGGTTGGCTTGGTGGCGGACGTGGAGGTGGACGAGATGGCTGCCTATTATTTTTGGGTTCCTCATTGCGTACTATGCTGTGGTTCTTAGAGAATGATGACGAATATGCTGGGCTTAATTCTGTGTCTTTCTGAACATCTGACATTGTTTAAATATCTAAAAATAACAAATTAAAAAATTCTTTTATTTTCATTTTGCACTACAGTTTATTATTTTAAAATCCTTTCAACCGATGCAATAATTATACTTGAAACAGATCAGTTATCACAAGAGAGCTTCTTGATTTAGAATTAATAACTCATTGTGAAAAGATGATTCTATTAAAATAAATGCCAAGTTTTCTACTGTGAAACATACGGATAACTTAATATTACCCCAATTAATGTTGATTCTATATATATATGCTAAATTTACAATCAATTTTTTATACTATTCTTATACTTTTTATACTGTTCTTATACTTAAGTAGTTGAATGGTTTGAATTACTTAATGATTTCATCTGATAGACTATTTTCCACATAATTTTCACAATTACTTGTTCATTTGCTAATAGCATCAGGTTAAAGCTAATTTATACGCAGAGAGTAAGATGCATAGTATTGGATTATTTGAATACAAAAAAAAAAAAAAAAAAAAAAAAAAAAAAAAAAAACACTCTAGGGCTATTTGCCAATGAGAATGCTTTGATAGGGACTGCCTAAGAGAAACTGGCCATAGTTAAGTTAGTCATAAAGAGAACTTCCTGTGTTTAGCATATTCAATCACCCATGATATGAAGGTGTAAATAGTGTGTACATTGCCAGCCACTTATTTTTATTAAAAATCACATCAATTTTTAGCATACAGTTTATTCAGCACTTAGACTGATAGATGGCAATGCAATGCGCCATCAATAAACTTATCTAAAAAATGTTCGCTGATGACTAATCACTATCATAATAAACAGCGTAAAAGCATACCATATTTACTCGTAAACAAAACCACCCTGAATATAAGGCACTACATTCTAGAATAAATGTTTAGAAAATAAAAATGTAGGTGACTATTGAGAAAGAATAATAAACAAAGAGTTAGAGGTAAAGTGCAGAATCGTCCACTTATTTGTTTGGCGCTTTTTACAAGAGTAAGAAGAGTTTATCAATTTTCTTTGACTTTTTAACTGAAAATAGGTCAATGTGTACATGGATAAAGTCAAAGGAGTGTGCAATGCGATTTTTGTGCAATTCTGGGATGCTTTTTTAAGTGAAAATAGGTTGATGTGTACATGGATGCCGAATATGTGCAATTCTTAAAAACGCGCCAAGCAGTGGGTGATTCTGCACTTTTCCCCACAGAAAATTTTGGGGTTCCGCCTCCCTTCTTTCAGACTTTCCCTTGACATAACAGCACCACCAGTTATTGTCCAAGGATATTGGCAAATTGTTATCTATTTATTTTTAGGCGTTATGGGGAAAGGACCTAAAATAATAAAATGCCACTTTGCTGATTTTCAAATACTGCGATGTTAGGCAATAAATTAAATATAAAACGGAGTTCGAAAAGGCTCACGTCTTTATTAAGCTGTCATGATATTCCAAGTAAACAAACTTTTCGTTGCCATGATGATTAACCAGGTAAACAAACTGTTTGTTGCCATTTTTCAAAAGATAAATTTAAAGAGATACAATAGCATTCATTTTCAACATTCGTTTCACATAGCAAAATGGGAATTTTGAAACATTAAATAATGTTCACAAAATTTTGAATTATCAATAAAGTTCACAAAGTTCTAAATTATCAATAAAATTCATTAGTTTAGCTTTTGTGGAGGGAGGATGCACTTCTCTACCTTGACGAGTTTTTCTAAAAGTTCTTAATACCTGTTCTTTAAAAGAACGTCGTTTTCTTCTATTTGAGAAATTTGATTCTTTTCTACCATTACTAGTTTTGAAAGGAAGAATTCCGAGTTAGTGTCTAATTCAAGGGGAAAGAGGCGTTAAACTGGCCTAACTACAAAGGATGTTTTCAGCCAAGGTCCGTAGAAAGCAAGGTCCGTACAAAGAACTTTCTATACGGACCTTGGTTTTCCGTATCATAAGACGCGTAATCGTTACCTGAGAGCAGTTCAAGTACTCGAGCTAACATCCAATCTTTTCGTTTCTTTTTATCATTTCCAATGTAAACAATGTCATTCCCTTTAATTATTCCTTTCTTCCTTTTTACAGTGTTTCGAAGAAAGCTTAGATATTCCTTCTTAAAACGGTTTCTAAGTTCTCTAACTTGTTGTAAATATTTTCATCTTTCTATTTTACTCACGTAAGAAATTTCATCTAGATCATACACATTGCTACCCTTTAAGTTGTGTAAGAACTCAGAGGGTTTTAAAGGCATCAAATCTTCTGATTCTTTGGACACGTACGTGTAATACTCTGTTAATTGAACTTTCGAGTCGCAGAAAAGGGTAAGGAACTCTTCATATCCTAAACTAGCGTGTCTCAAATTTTTTTTAGATAAGGAGTTTTAAAATTCGTATTAACCTTCCGAAAATCCTTCCCACCATAATGCTGTGGGAGAATTGTATTTCCAGTTTACTTTCATTAAGGTACACTCCGAAAAAAAAAAGGGGGACAGTTCTATATCTCTCGTTTTACAGGGCCGATTGACAAAATTCAAATTGCGTTTTTCATGGCTCAAAAGCGCGACTTAGGATATGTATTAGATTTATATATAGCACTCTTCTAACATAGGTATTTTGACACTAAATCGGACTTTTTCTGAAATGACATACCAATTTTTTTACATATTTCGATTCTACGACTCAAATTATGCCTAGATATTTACTTTTGTAAAATTTGGTGGGAAATTCAAACATTTATATTGGCGCTTTTTTTTTTATCTAGTTTGCGTCAAGAATAGTTCACTTGGCGAACTTCTTAATATAGGGCAACCTATTTTCCTTTTCCTTTTTACATTGCGCGTGAGAGGAAAAGCCACATCGTTCTTTCTTTCAAATAATATTCTTTATATTATATTTCTATGTTATTATTTTTAATATATTTTTTCTTTTTCGAATTTCATTTTAATTGTTTAAGTTGAATGGTTTCTTTCAAACAACTGTTTTAAAAATTTCCATTTACTCATTCGAATTGCATGGTTTAAATAAAAGGTGCATCGTTTATTATTTTTTTTTAAATAGTTTTCTTTATACTATACTTTTTTTAGTTTTCTTTATACTATACTTTTCTTTATACTATACTTTTTTTAGTCATAGTTATTATTTTAGGTAAATTTTGAATTTTTAAACTTTTATTTTAATTTTTTGTGTTGCATTGTCTCTTCAGGTAATTCTTTTAAAATTTTCTATTCATTCATTCGAATTGCGCATTTTAAATATATTTAATATAAATTTGCTCCCATTGCTTTACAAATTTTATCATCCTATATTTCATTTCTTAGATGATTTTAATATTTTAGTCAAATATTTTATTTTTGAAATCGCAAGAATCAAATATTATAAAATTTAAAAATTTAAATAAAAAAAATTTATTTTTTCTTTTCAATGGCTTGCTCTTTTATTTTTAGGCTTTGCAAGTATATTAAAAAGCATTCAACTTTTCGAAACATATTGGTATTTCTGACATTGATTTTAAATAAATGTATCGCCTTCCATTTCAAAACGGCCCACAAACGGCCGAACGGTAAAGTCGCTGAATACTGGTAGTTCACTCCGGGGTTCAGAACCCGGCAAACGGGCTGATTGCATGGGCGTTTTCTTGTTTTTTCTCACGTGTAACGTGTATGCCAGCTGGTTTCCCTTAGAAAGTTCTTCACGGAAGCATTCTTCCTTTTAGGCATATAGCTCTGCTTTGCCGCAACTTAATACTCTAATTCAAGCCATTTAGTCAGAGTCTTTATCAGTCTTTAGAGGCTAAGCATTTTGAATGCATGAGATGAAAGGAAAGACTGTTTTCATCAAGAGGGAAAAGTCTTCAGATGATATCCATATACGTTTTAGAGACATTAGGATTTTTAGATACACGTTAGGAAGAGTTTTGAAGTTTTAGAACAGGGTCTTTAACTTTAGAGGGCTTGAGCGGAAAGAATCAGAGGGAAATCGCACGGGACATTCGAACCAACGAATACCGGCCGGATCGAATACGCGCCGAGCGTGTAGACCACTATACCACGAAGGCACGCTAAGAAGGCGGGAGAAATACCTTATATACTTTTAAATGATCTGGAAATTAGGGGACCTAGTCGCCAAATCCTGGTGGTGAAGAATCATTTTCCACCACCTTTTAGTTCAGGCGCCACTGTAGAGACATTAGGTATTTTTGGGGGACAGCAGGGGAAATGAAAAATGAACAATACCCTCGCCGAGAACCGAACCACGGACCTCTCGAATAGGCATCGAGCATGCAGTCCACTATACCACGAAGGCACGCTAAAAAGGCGTGAGTAATACCTCTTAACGTCTCTGGATAAATTCCTGAATCTTAAAATACATTGACTGAGAAAAGATGTGATGTTCCGTTTATGATACGATATGATGTTCTATGACATAATTTAAATTTATAAAATAAAGGTAAAAATTTACTCTTACAGATACACTGCTCGACATTGAAAATGCAACACCAAGAAGGAGTGGTCAGAAAGTGATGAAATTTGGAAAAAAGACAGAGACAGCAAGCAGCAATACGTGATCTTTATTTCAAAATGATAGCCAAAATACAGAGCGAGAACGGCGTCGGCTCAGAACGGCGTCGGACAGAGCAGAACGGCGTCGGATGTAGTAATGAAAGTGATGCACGAAGAAACACGTCTAGGCATAGAGTCAATAAGAGTGCGGATGGTGTCCTGAGGGATGTCTCTCCATTCCCTTTCAACCATTTGCCACAGTTCGTCTTCTGAACGAGGCAGGGGCAGAGTCTGCAAACGGCGTCCAATCACATCCCATACATGTTCGATTGGTGACAGGTCAGGAGAGTACGCTGGACAGGGAAGCATCTGTATACTTTGCAGAGCATGTTGGCAGATGCGAGCACTGTGTGGTCGGGCGTTATCCTGCTGAAAGATTGCATTAGGCAGCCCCTGAAGGTAGGGGATAGCCACCGGCCGCAGTACATTATCCAAGTATCGTTGGGCCGTCATAGTGCCCTGAATACGAACTAGAGGT